AGCTCTACCTGAAGCCACTTTCCAAAGCCGTGTCTCCCAGCTCCTCTGCCTTCACATGGAGCTCCTCGAGCTCATCCTCTGTGAGTGGAGGGCAGTTCTCATCATTTTCAGGGTATTCCTGCCTTCGCATTGCTTTCAATAACCCGTGCTCTGCTTCCAGAGAATGTGAGAGGACCTCCCCTTCTTCCACAATGGGGAGAGGGAGAGACCATTCTGAAGACAGCCTCCTCCCCACTTTCCTTTGGTTCGGGTGTGCTGTGGTCCTCCAAATCCTCCAGCTTGTCACAGTCTCTGTTCTCTGAGAAGTCTTCATTCCCGTCATCCTCCAGAGTCTTCAGGAACTCACTCTTCCTGCGGTGGTTCGGCGGGTCAACTTGGTGAGAAGAGAGGAGCTGATCTCCACTGGAGGGGTAGTGCTGGAGGGACTCTCTTGGGAGAGCTTAGAACGGCACCACCAGCCAGTATCACTGGTTTGGTAACAGAGATTGGATTGGTACAAGCAGACTCCTGGCTAGAGGAAAGGGATCCTGATTTGTGTTCCATTCTGTTAGCTTTCCCTGCATTGGGCTTGGAAGGAGGTGGTGCAGGCTTAGGAACCAGGTTCTTATAAACACTTGGAAACATGGTTGAAGATTTATTTCCATTTGCATGGTGAGATCCTGGTGAGGTGAATGCAGCGCAGGAGGCAGCAGCAGGTTGTTCTTTGGAAACTTCTTTGATTACTAGCATCTTGGAAGGTTGTTGGCACTAGGTGGGTTTTCCCACACTCCAGAAGTGGTCCCAAAAGGTCTTCATGGCTGATTGTGTTTGCCAGCTTCTGGATTCAAAGAAGGAAAGGCCTCCTCTTCAAACTGCAAATTTTCTACCTTGTCTTCTTTTTTTTCTTCCCTAAATCTGTAGATGGCTTTCCTGAAAGGCATTGCCTTTCTGGGAGTGGAAGCTGCCATTCCAGTGTTGATGCTTCCCTACACTGTGTCTGCTATGCTGGCTCATGCCCTCCTGACCCTGAGAAGAGCTGTGCCGACCAGATAAATTCCCTGTGATTCCCACATGTGTTACCTTAGAGACACCAGACTGCACCGAATCATAGTGAAACAGGGAGGGTTGATGCCAGGCATCTCCTGTAGTTCATAAAGGTCCATTGTCAAAACATCCATCAGAGGAATTGTGTCAACATTGGCTTACTCCAAATATACCTTCTCCTCGGGGTAGGTGGTCTCTATTTTTCAAAAGTGGTTGTAGGTGACTTAGCTGGCTGTGGTGTTGAGAAATTTAGCCAAGCAAGAACAAAGTCATGCTCTCCCATTAAGGTCCAGTGTCTCTTTTCAGCAAGGTGAGGCATCCAACCTTATGGCCAGGATCACAGTGTAACCTCTCTGGTCCTGTTTTCCGACTCCTTGAGGATACCAGGTGGATCTCCCAAGAGATTTTCTTGTTGAAAGGGAGCATAGGGGCCTGGGATTTAGTTCCGTGCCAGCTTGTCTGCTTTGCAAGCACAAGGACCCGAGTTCGATCTCTGGTACTGAAAAGAAAAGAAAAAGGATTGTAGGTAGCCTGGCCAGCAGCACACCTTGCGATGAAGCACAGAGAAGGCCGGCTCCTTGTGCCTCACTTTCTTAGTCCCTTCAATTGCTCATCCTCAACTCTCTAGTTCCAGGCACTTTTCCAAAAAGGGGAAGGGGAGGGGAAGGGGGAGGGGGAACATAAGAAGTATTTGTTACATTTGAAAAGAGGGGTAAGGGGAAAAAGCTATGCCTATGTTCACCTTGTTCAACTTCCTTGAGTAACAGCACTACAAAGTTGCTTAAATAGGTAACACATAGACATTTGCCTGGTGAGGACAAACACTGTTCATAAATAGGTCATAGTTAGACAGGGAGCTTGACGTGTAGGTAAGTAATGTCATCACAGTGACAGATCAAAAATATAATATTAAAACACAATCAATAATCTTTGGAGCAGTCAACCTCAGTGGTAAACCTGTCACATGACAAAGCCCTCAAAACACAAATCTCATTATTTTTAAACAACTGCTAAAAATAGTCTGCAGATGCATGTATGTAATTGCCTTAACCTTCAAAATCTAAGGACCTAAGAAATCTTGCTTTAAAAAAAGGATCAGACAAGAACTTGATAAACTTTTCCCTCTATAGAATAGCAACTTTCAAGGCAAATTTCTTGGTATACAGCTCTTAAACATATGTTCTATTTCTTTGGTCTTCACTATTTATAAATGTAGCAAAATTAAAACAAGTAGAAAGTAGTAGGAAGTGAGGGGTAGTCAAAGAGAAAGACAGTTCCAAAATGGAGTTTTCTTCACTTCGGTTTTCAGTATTTCACTTGTTCTGCTCCTTTCCAAAAACTGAATTGAGCCACTGGAAGGCGAGGTGAAGAATCTTCTACTGCTTTGGTGGAGAAGGAACTTAATATTTTGGATCCATTTTCATCATTATTCAATTATTAAAAAGGCCACACGAATCTACCAATCAGGCAGTGGCAGGGCTACAATCAAGGGAGAGATGGGGCATCTGGGGACACATTCCCAGCTTCTCTGCCTGGTAGAGGTGACTAGCCCACAACCATAACAAAGCTCTTCCCAAAATGGCTGCCCTGCCCACAAGGCCCAGAAGCATTTTATTATTACCATTATTGCTATTATAAATGTATTTATTTGTTTGTTTTGGTGATAGTGGGTGCTGAATCCAGGGCCTTTGCACTGAGCAACATCCCTGGCCTTTTTGTTTTTCATTTTCACACAGGGCCTCACTAAGTTGCACAGATTGGACTTGCATTTGTCATCCTCTTGTCTCAGCCTCTAGAGTGCTGGGATTACAGGCATGCATCACCATGCTCTGCTGATAGATCAGTTTTAAATGAAAATACTGACTTCTGCAGTATGTGATGGAGGCCCTAAGTCTGCTTTTGATATTAACAGAACATGCAAAAGAGGTCAGGGCAGCTCCTCATGAAGAGCAGAGCTTGGCTTCTTGCACAAAGCACATGGATATCTGGAAAGTACCCAGGGAAACTCACTGCAGTGATCCCAAGTGACAAGGATACAGGCCACTGACCTCTAACCTAGGTGCATACACTCAGCCTGCTGGTTTTCTGTCAGATTATAGACACAGATTATAGATTAGTTTAATGAATCAAAATAATGTAACACCTAACATACTTAAAAGACAACCCACAGTCATGAATTAATGACTCATTTTTTGCCAACCACCTGTTCCAATTCCTCCAATTTCATTGGCTGCCATGTAGCTTGTCCTGCCCTTGGCCAAGGCGTGACCTCTCTTGTGCTTTTTAGAAATGTCCCACATGAAATAAACTGGGTCACTAGAATAGTTCCTCATAACATTCACACTCTAAACCTTCTAGCCCATTTCCTGAGCAGACATTTCTCCTTGTATTCTTTCAGTTGCCAGGCTGCCCAAAGAGTTTATATCTGAAAACCATTTCTTCTTGAAAAGCACATTCATCAAGTCCCTCATTGTGAATGAAAGAAAGTTTGCCTCTAAAGGCACAGTTTTTCTGAGTACACAAAGAAGCAAGATGAGAAGAAGCCTGAGTCCTTCTTGACAGGCAGACACACTCAGCACCATGAGAAGCCCTTGGTGCTGGTCCTTAGGCCTGGTCCTCCTGACCCCAGGTCCTTGTCCCACATTCCCCAACAGTAGAATTCAACTCTTGCATTCTTTTAGGTCTCCCTGAGACCTACAAATTTCTCTCTTCCTCATGCAGTATTACTTTTTTCAGCATTAGTTTTTTCAGCATGAGAGTGAATCTATCTTTACTTAACATCACTATTCTCATTCAGCCTTCCTGCTGGAATTGGTTTTACTTCATGCCTTCAATTTTCTCAGCCTTTATTTAGCCTACAGCTTCCTCAGAAGCACTCATCCTGTAACAGCCATTCTAAGACAAGCATAGGGGGAGGGTGGGTGGGTGGGTGGGGTCTGTACTTGTTGAGACAGGAGACACATTCCATGTTGGATGAAGCCAGTCTAGATAGGGTGGTGGAGGACATCAGGATAGAAGGAATCAGAGAGTCTTCCTGAGCTGAGGAAAAAGAAGGGAGGAGAGGAGGAAAGCAGGAAAGTCCAGCTCCTACACAGCTGTCCTTTCTGCGCCTGGGGATCCTCCAAGTGAGGCCACCAGAGGGCAACAAGGGCCTGGATTTGGGGAAGGCCATTGCTATTGCTCACATTGTCCTATATGTAAAGAGCTGTTTTCTCTTGGGCTCCTATAAAGGGAAGCAAATAGAATGTATGTCTCAAATTCATGGAGTCCATTAGTATAGATATACATGGAAAAATCAGTGAACCCCAGGGCCTGTACTCAAGCCCTAGCATCAGAGGAACGCAGAGATACAGGTGAGAATATGAAACGAGGATCCATTCTGAGGGAAAACAGAAAAGCCTGAAGAGGAATAAGAATCCTTTTTCTGCCTTTGGTCTCTAGAGAGGAGTAACTGAGTATCTCTCAGCCTTTTACATACTGTTTGTAATCACATCACACACTTATAGCCAAAGGAAGCCCTCAGATTCCTTGGTCAGGAGTAATTGACTGAAAATCCCATGATAGGAAGGGTACAGGCAACAATGCTGGCTCCATTTATGGACACTGTCATGGAATGATTGTACCATGACTTAGAAAATACAGGTCATAGAATTTTGATCCAGGCATGGTTGCACACACCTGGAGCCCCAACACTCTGGAGGCTGAGGCAGGAGGATTGCCATGAGGTAGTTCAAGGCCAACCTGGGCTACATAGTTCAAGACCAGCCTGGAATATATTACCAAGTCCTGTTTAAAAAAATAAAAAACAAAAAAAGAAAAAAAAGCAAAGCAAGCAAGAAAGGACTTTATGTCAGCTAAGTCCTGCTGTCCAGGGATGCAGAGTGACTAGAGTCCAGGGCAGGTCAGACTAGAATGACAGGCAGGAAGAAGATTTGCATGGAAGCTCCTCCTTCCTCTGAGGCAGAAGCAGAGATAAAAGAGGTCTTGGAGAACCAGGCCCAGTGCTGAGGTGTCAGAAGATAGGACTCTTGGAGCATCTCCACCATGGCCTGGGGGGCTCTGCTTCTCCTCACCATTCTCACTCAGGACACAGGTGAGGCTTCCAGGGAAAGAACCACTGGGGCAGGTGGTGTGAGATTGTTCCTTCTCCACAATCTGAACTGGACTCAGCACTGACTCACCAGAGAATATTTTTCCGTCCTTTAGGGTGCTGGGCCCAATCTGCTCTGACTCAGCCTCCCACAGCCTCTGGGTCTCTTGGAGGGAAGGTCACCATCTCCTGTACTGGAACCAGCAGTGATATTGGAAGCTACAATGATGTCTCCTGGTACCAGCAGCTGCAAGGAACATCCCCCAAACTTCTGATATATGATGTCAGCAATCGGCCTTCAGGGATCCCTGATCGCTTCTCTGGCTCCAAGTCTGGCAACACAGCCTCCCTGAGCATTGATAGACTCCAGGCTGAGGACGAGGCTGATTATTACTGCTCTTCATATACAACTTCTAGCACTTTGCACAGTGGCCCGAGTTCATGGGGAAGTGAGACCAAAACTTGCACTGAGCTCCTAAGTTCCTCCATGCTCTGAAGATTTTTCCTCAGCCATGTACAGAGGGCGCTCATGCTATGTAGACCAGAATTTCAGTTTCCTCTGGCTCTTCTGTTCTTCCAGCAAAGTAATAAAGAAAATACACTTTCTGGTTTATGTCTTGGAAGTATGAAAGCATCCTCTGTTTTGAGTTTTGTGGGCTCAGATTGTGTGCATGTCTCCAACTCTTCACTGGCAGGACCAGAAAGTCAAGTCCATACCTTGAGGTCCAGTTTCTTCAGTTGCACAAAAATCCTCACTGTAAACATTTCCATCTCCATAACTGTGCTATCTAGCCTTCTTTTAGTTTTCCATTAATGAATATTATTCTATTCACATCTACCAAAGACCTGAGTACCCCTCAGTATACCTAGATAGATTGTTTTTTTGCTTGGCTTTTGTTGAAGGAGGAGCCACTCAGAGTTTGCATGATGTCTCAAAGGGAATGTGACAGAGGTGGTTTTGGATCACTGTCTCTCATTTCTTTTTACCCCATGAATAGGAACTGACCATGTGAGAATGTGAGTCGAATCTCTGTGTTATACACAAAACCTCCTGTCCTCTCACTTACCCTGAGTTCAATGGACTCCTGTCTTGGAAGTAGTACAGGTGGAGAGCATGGAATCTTAGCTAAAGGGTTTCTTTTTGCCATAGAGGAAGAGATATTTGGTGGATGTTTAATATTATTCTTCGAGGATTCTTTATTTTGAATGTATATGATTGCCATGACATGACAACCTAAATACTAGGGGCAATCTCATTTATAAAAAATGTAATTACATATATAAATGATCCTAGGCTTACAACGGGGTTACATCCTGACAAGGCCATCACAGATTGAAAATACCATGAGGCAAAAGTGCATTTCATACACCTAACCTACTGAACATTACAGCTTAGCAGCACCAGATACTGTGGACCATAGTTTGTTTCCTCTTTGTGATTGTGGGACTGATGGCCTGGAAGCTGCATTTCACTGCAATTCATCTGCATGACAAGAATCTTCCAAACCACATATTGCTTGCCTTGGAAGAAAATCACATTTGAGAACTTGAAATAGGATCTCTAGTGACGCACACTGCTTTCCCACCGCATAAAATTGAAATAAATCTTTCAATCAGCATTAAGTAAGGGCCATAATGTAATAGGAGGTGGAGGGATTGTGTGTGTGTGTGTGTGTGTTTGTGTGTATTTGCATATACCTGGAGGAATTTTTTGAACAGCTGGGAGTATGCCCTTACAAGATGTCAAAATCCTAGGCAGGATTTTCAGTGAAATTTAAAAGACTGGATGTCCTACATGATCCCTGAGATACAATATTCCTGGAGCTGCAGTTGGACTTTGGGTCATGCATATGTGGAAACTGCAAATGCCCAAACAATCTCTCCTGTGCTTTCTCAAGAAATTAAGTTATATGTATTCATGTTTCTGAACAATGTGAGAAAAAGATTACTTTTGATTGAGACAATTGGAAATGTGTGAAGTTTTCATATTTCAAAGTGCCTGTCCATGTTTGACTCTTCAGTGCCACTGAGGTCCCAGCTCTCAGGGCAGTTCCAGTTCCCTCTGGAGAATTCCTTAGCAGACAGCCAAGGCTACATTCTTGCCTCATTCTGGGAGCCTCCCAAGAATTCTACCCTCAGATGAATTGTTCTTTCTTTTCTACCTCCTGCCTCAGCCTACTGAAGGTGTAAGGAACGGGGTGTCCAGGTCTGCACCTCAGCTGCATCAGTGACACCAGTGCTATAGCATTAGGTCTCTCTCTGTGTTCTCTTCATTTTCTCTTTTCGTAGATTCCGAGAGACTCTTTCCTACCAGCACCAATACAGGGCACTTCTCTCACTTTATTCTTGCCTTATCTTATTCTCATATAAATTACCTGTACTTTTATTCAGAGTCTCTGCTTTTTGTAGTTAAAGGAAGGAAAATAATTCAGATATATTGGACTTCAATTTTGAAAATTTGTTATTGACTAATGCATCCTACTTAATAAGGATTTTGTGAAAAAATAGTTACAATGTCACAAGTAGTAAAAAATCACAGATACATCCATCTGCTTTTGTATCTTCTCAACCAAAAGTGATGGCATGGGAAAGACAAAACTATTTCTTAGTTCATTATCTTCACCTGCTGAGTTGTGTGCTATGGAATTCACATCTAGTAAAAAAATTGCCTAGAGACCAGGTATCCTATGTTGTGCACCCTTTAGTTTAGAAAAATCTGCATCAGTAGGTCTGAGAATCATTCCCTTGAGGGCAAGAAATAGATGATTATTTTGGATTGTGGATCTTTTGGAACAAAACAAAAGCAGGAAAATCTGCTCATGATGTATATGAGAATAGCACAAACAGGAAAATACAGACAAGAATTTGGGCTTATCTCAGGATCGCAAGGTGTTCACAGTGCCAGCACTCTGGCTAGTGACCTTCTTCAGATGGAAAGGATTGAATGAGGACAATTACTATAGTGTCACACAGCACCAGCTCAGCCAGGTTCCCCTTCCAGACATCGATATTTTACCTTCTACAGAGAATAAACACAGGCTAGGAGGGGATGTGAGGCAGAGCCATGGATAGTGAGAGGTTGGAGACCTGCTTCCCTGCCAGTTCCACTCACTGATATGATTCCTATTGCCTCATGTCCCTTACCCCCTAACCATAGCCACTGAGAAATTGTACAGGCATCTCAGGATGGTTCTCACTGCACAACGGGTTTGGCTATCTTGTGAGTATTAACACCATTCAATCTAATTTCCAGATCCAAAGCTATATAGCTCTCCATTCTTGTGTTCCTGGCATAGCTGTTTGTTGATAGTCTTCAAAGACTTTTTGTAGAGCTTCAGGAAGGAGCAAACATAGTTAAGTCCTCACATCTGTTTAGTCTAGAAGATAAATACTCTCAGGAGCATGTGTACCGAAGTATTGTAGGTCATGAAGGAATAACTCATCTCTGAGGCCATGAACAGAATCCAGCATCTACACTGGAAGATTCAGAATGTTACCACTTGCTCAGTTCACACCACTCACCACTCTCCAAGAATACAGAGTCAATTATTTGTTAGAAAGGAAGAAAGCATCATTCAAAGCTGGCTCCAAAGGAGAGAGTTCTCCCTTCGTGCTTCAAATCTCCATCTGTGCTGAGGTGTTGAAAAGCTTTTCATAGTAAGAAAGGAGAAGAGGAAAATTGAAATGAGACAATAGACTAGGAAATTTCCAGGCTTGTGCTCCCCCCACAACAATTCTTGCCCTTTTCCCTTCCTTGTGGAAAGAATCCAGACTCTGTCTTGGGGTCAGTATCTACACATTCCTTTCAGAAGGTTCCGCTGTCTTTCTGTCCATTCATCTGGTGGGAGAAGAGGAGGAGATGGCAACTTAGGGAGGCACCCTGAGGAAGTTTGGAGAAGCAGATCAAAGTTTAGAGGTCCATTCTATCCTCTCCGTTACAAGAAGGTGTTTTGAGACTGCAGTTTGTACTGTGAAGAGTATGCAAAGTAAAAGAGGAAAGAAAACTTTGTGAAAGTTCTGAAGGTAACAAATTTCTATGGCTGAGTGTTTACTATCAAGTAATCACTGAAGCATGACAGGACTCTCCAGAGTTTTCATCAAAGGAAGGATGTTACATTTTATAGACAGTGTGTGGCTTCCTCCACGTTCCCATGCTGACTTTTCAACTTCTTGGATCTGTGGATTGAGCTATATTTAAGCAAATATAACTGTTATTTCACAAATTTAGCTGTTACTTCTGCCTATTATTCTTCTCATTTGAGGAAACTCATTACCTATATAATAGGTCATATGATGATCCTGCAGCCTACTGCCAATTTTTCCTCCATTTTTTGGCAAGGTTCTTTTTTTCTTATTTGTCTTTACCCCTGTGTGTCTTACCTCAATTAGTTTCTATTGTTAGACATTAAGGGTCATTTACTCATTTAGAGTGTCTAATCTTCCATTCCTACCTCCTGGGATAATTGGATAGTTTCCACCTACATTCCTCTCTCTCTGTGTGTGTGTGTGTGTGTGTGTGTGTGTGTGTGTGTGTGTGTGTATCTTGGCTTTTTAACAGGGTCTTGCTATATACTTCAGGCTGGCCTTATAATCACTATATAGCCCAGCTTGGCCTTGAACTCATGGTATATCTCCTGCCTCAGCCTCCTGAATGCTGGGATTATAGGCATATGCTATGAGGCCTGGATTCATTTCTCTCCGTCTGTCTGTCTGTCTGTCTGTCTCTCTCTCTCTCTCTCTGTCTCTCTCTCACTCTCTCTCTTGTTTAGGTTCATCATTTGTTGTACAAATTGAGTATTACATGATGAGTTGTACATTAGCTTTTCCACTCCTGGGAACTGAAAAGATCAAGCCAGGCAGTGGAAAATCCCAGCACACACAACACCCTGGCTTTGATCCCCAACACCTTTATGTTGTTTTCCCAGCTGCAATTATTTTAAACCTTAATCTGAAATACAGGATTATCAAAGAAATGCCTCCACATGTGGTCAGTACACCATTCATTGTATCCGTGACAGTTAAGAGTTGAAATATTTTTTGATGCCAATGAACTGGAACTGGGCATCAGTATATGGACCTGCTATCATTTAAATTTTGCCAAAGCCACAGATTCCTCAGCTAATCTCCTTCAACTTACACAGCTACTTCCACAGCCCAGCCTGAAGAAGCCGCATCCTCTCTGCACCTGTTCAACTGGCCACTTCAGTTGTCTCTTACACCAGAATTGCCTTTCTGTATTTTTCTACCTTTCTATTAACTTCAACATGGTTTTCTCTTACTTGGGGGATGATTTTTATAATAGAGTTTTGAAGCCTTTGTCAGAGAAATCCAATACCTGTGTCATGACATATCTTTCACATGGCAGTCAAGATTTTCTGGATCTTTGATATGTTGAAATATGTGGATTCCTTTCTGCATGTTTAAAGTATTATTTTGTACAACTGCACATCTTCTTCACATCCCATCTATCTCAGCACAAAAGCTGCCTAGTTGAGTTTAGGACACATGTTCTTACCTTCTGTGAGTGAATGCTGACTTTTAGGTCAGTTCACTCTAAAAATCCTTTGCAATACTATTTGTATTTGTCTTTCATGGACACCACATGGAAACTAGGTTTTGTTCTGTTCCTTAATTGTGTTTTCAGGTTTCCTGTCTTCTTCAGCATCAGAACCATGTGTGTGAAGTTCAGAGGTGAATTCGTAAGTGTGTAAGTATTCAGGGAGGAAGGTTGCGTTCCCAATCTAATCCCTCTCCACAATTTCTCTGGTTCTTCCAGGTTCCTGGTGTTCTCTTCTTGCTTTCTCTACTCCAAAGAACTGGACCTTGTTCTGTTGTGCTCCTTTTCTTCCTATGCATATGTTCAAGGTAACTACGAGGAAGACAGAGCAACAAAGCCATGGGAGTTCATGCTCTCCTCTTGGGAACATATGTCTACAATTAAAAGATTAGTTCCTTCCAACCTCCCCACTGATGCTGTCATTTCAAGATAATGTCCTGGAGGCAGGAACATTTTTGAATGGACAGCACAAGAAAACAAAAGGAAAGTAAAATATGTTTTTGCCAACTTATTCTGAGTAGGAGGAGTCACCTGTCTATGATGTAACACTGAATAAGAGTTGTTCCTTCTCATGTTCACTCTCAGGGCTACCTAAACTCCAAGCCAGAAGAGAAAAAAGTACAAAGAGAAATCTCACTGGATCAGTGATAATTCCATGTGCCTCTCTTTCTAACCTTCCTTTATATGACTTATATTTCAAGGCTCACGAGGAACATTCTGTTTTTTTTTAAATCTTCATTGAGTGAGAGAGATGGGAGCCAGTGTGGGCTATTAGATCCTAACCAGTAGAAGCCAGAGGACAAAGGGACAGGATCCTGAAGGGGATTAGAAGGGATCAGGTAATCTGTCTTGAGCTGAGGGGAAAGGAGGGAGGAGGGGAGAAGAGCATAGCAGGGATGTTCAGCTCCCATTCACTTTCCCTACCTAGTGCTTCAGGTCTTCCATGTGGGGCTGCCAGAAATCAATGAGAACTTGGATTTGGGGAACCATTTACACATGGGACAACTATTACATTAGGTAATTAGCATATCTGATACCTCAAATACTTGTTACTTATCCCTGTGAAATATGCAGATCCTGTCATACCTATTTGAAATATACCAAACACTTTTGTTATAGTCTTGCTACTGTGAAATAGCACATCAGAATTTATTTTCCTATCTAACTATAGCTTTCTGTGTTTAAACTGTGCCCATGCTCCCTTGCCTCCTGTACTCTTTAACCTCTTCTAACCTCTTTTCTAATCTTTAATTTTTAAAAATCAACTTCTTTGGATCCCATGTACAATTGAGATCACGTGGTATTTGTATTTGCGTGCCTGACTTATTTCACATAGTATAATATTCTCTAGATTCACCGAGATTGTATGAAAGGTAAGTGTTCATCATTTTGTCTTGAGTCTGAATATTATTTCTTTGTGTTTATATACAATATTTTTTCATTCATCCATTGATGAACATTTAGGTTGGTTCTATACCTTCTTTATTGGGTATAATGCTGCAATGAACATAACAGTGCTAATGTCCTTTCAATATACTGATTTCATTTTCTTGGGTTGGGAGTCATAGTGCTCTTGTTCTTTAACAAAACTTTTACTGAAGAGTTAGCAAACAGAAGCAGCTCATACACGTTAATTTCTGTTAGTACTTAGAACAACTCTCCATGCGTGGAGGAAATTAGAAAGGACCAGAGGACCTGGTGTTTTACTGGGAAGGGAAGAGTAAGGAGGGAAAGGAGTAGAGCGGAAGTTTCCAACTGTGACTCAGTTTTCCCTGGTTAACATCCACCACCCTGAGGCCACCAAGGGCCAGAGAGTGATAGACTGAGATTGCAGTTGATGGTTTAGCCTGGCCAGTCTGAAATTCTAGGAGCTGCTTTCCCTTGAACATCTTTAAAAAAACAAGGAGACAGGAACCAAATCAAATACGCAGCAATAAATATTTTTCTATAAAGGCCAACAAGTGGTCTCAGCCTTAGTTCCAGAGCCTGTCCTTAAACCAGTGGTTAGGGGATGGTAGGTGATAGGGGATGAATGTGTGACTGAGGACCTGTTCCTCATGAAAATACTTAAACGGTCTGATGCAACAATGAGATATCCCATATTCTGCCTTTACACCTTGGAGGAAAGACAAATTAGATCTCTCCCAGAAATACTGGGGCCTGGTGCTCACCTTTGTCCCACATAAGAGAGGAAGATCCATGGTTTGCTCACCCAGGAATTCCCACAATAGCACAGTTAGGGATGTTTCTGGTCTGGCCTGATGGCCTGGGGACTGTCACCATCTCAGACTGTTCTGACTCAGAATAAACCTGCCACTGTTTAATCCTTCAGCTATACTTCTTCTCCTAATCATAGTTTTATTTGCTCATATGCACTGACTCTTCCCTGTGCAGAATTGTATTTGAGCTTGTGTGCTAGGTCAAAATCGCCTCCTGCTTGGATCCCTGTACCCCTGTCCCCAAACCAATCCTTCAAAGAGCCTGTCTTTGCATTAAGATATTTGGAATAGTATCTATCAAAAATTATTTTTTTCTATAAAAGATGAACATTTGGTGAGGTTTTTGTTTCTCTTTTCATAAGGAATCACCCTGAAGTAATGATCAAATCCCATTAATAGTTGGAATCTCAGTTACAATTAATCCTTAACACACACACACACACACACACACACACACACACACGAAGCCCTTGAACAGATAAGGTTAGGCCCCAGAAGACCTGAGGCAGCAATTAACTCTCCCACATTTTCTAGTATATTTCCAATTTTATCACTGAAATTGTCAAATCCACCAATACTCTCTTTCTAAGGCAAATCAGAATAGCTGGTTACATTACTAGAAGTTTTTTTTCCTTCAAATGTCTTCTTATTTTTGTGAAAATTGTTCTGATTTTCTCCATTCTATCAGAAATGACAGTCAGCATCCTCCCACTGTAAATATCTAGGCTGAACAGTCACACGGGTTCACCGTCTAAGCAAGTGGTTTCCAGCACCAGAGTGAAGGGGCCTTGACTGTCAGAGGCATAGAATCGTGCGCTGAGCCACAGGCTGGTCACAGGCTGGCCTGCCCATGAGCTGTGTCAGTGTACAGACAAGCAGCAGGAAACAAAGAGGCCTCTGTTCTGGTTTTCATTCTCGGCAACTGTTCTTATACTTGCCACCTGACTGTTAGAGGATGAGGAATTACTTATGGATAATTGGTTTGCTGCACAAGGGCAGGTACCTCCCAGTGCCTACTCCATGTTTTTGCATTTGAAGGTGCTACCAACATTTTCCCTTCAGGAGGTTATTATTTTTGTAACTGGCATCTATAAATAGGAAACCAGGAGGTAAATGTTGAGTGAACATGATCTCTCCAGTATAACATTCTCATCTACCATAATCCTTTATGTTTTTTATGTGGAGAGTCAAGCTTGAGAAATAACCACCTGAATTTGCTAAAGTAATTAAACTCTGTGTGTGTGTGTGTGTGTGTGTGTGTGTGTTTAAAGGAAAACAAAGAGAAAGTGCGCTTTTTGTAGAAGTTATTTGAAACGTTTTCAGGTGCTGTTCTGAAAATTTAGGCCATTGTTTCACTGTTCAATGTAATAAAAGTCTCAACACCTTAGGACTTTTCCCATTCACACAGCTCTAGGATTTCTGAGTTAGATAATGCACATATTCCATAGCAGTTTTCTGTGTATTTTACTTGTTTGAAAAATAATTGTGTTTCTTCAAGGAAACATCCACTTTCATTGTTTTTGAGGAGTATATTGGAATTGGTCATCACATACGTTTAATTACTTTGCTTAGATTTTATTAATTATTCACTATATTTTGTGCAAATATCTCTTTTGCCTTCACATTAGCCTCACTTGTAGTTCTTAGTTCTGTTTCAATCTAATTTTGAGGACACATATATGTGGAACTATTTTATTTTATTTTATTTTATTTTATATTATTTTATTTTTTTGGTACTGGGGATTGAACTCTGGAACTTGCACTTGCGAGGCAGGTGTGGTGCCACTGAGCTAAATTCCCGGCCCATAGAACAATTTTAAAACATAATGATTATTTCTGTCACATAAGTTGGGGGACCTAACACAACAAGAACAGAGGACAAGGCAGATAAGAAGATCAGTGGTTTTCTTCTTGCAAAAATCATCTGGATAGCTAGAAGTTTCCCAACAGGGAGCTCTCTATGATGAAATTCTCAAGAATACCTACCCCTGCTCAGATATACACACTCATCCTGGCTGTTCACTGAGCAAGTCCTTGACCAGTGCCCCCTTAGAGGGGACATAGAAGGTGTGTGTCTCAGATCTCTCATAACCCACTTAGTTTGCATTTATAGAATCCTGAAAAATGTACCCCAAGTGCTTGCTACACTCTGGGTCTCGTCTCAGACCAGTGGAAAGAGAGAACAGGTGCTGAATGAGGACACACTCAGTGTGAGGGGAAACCTAGGGGCTGGGAAGAATGATCAATGCCTCTCTGTATTTCATCCTTTTGAAAGAAGAGTGATTTTGTGTCTCTCAGACACGCAGAGACTATGTCCTCACCCTCATTCCATGTGGCAGGCAAAGGAAGTCCTCAGACAACTCAGCTAGGAACAGCTCAGAATCCACTAATAAAGGTACAGACACAAAGGCTGTCTTCATTTGCCGGGCACTGTCATGGACTCATGGTGCCCCGACTAAAAGGTTTTTCCTCTAAGCTAGGTCCTTCTGTCCAGGGATAAAGAACTATACAGAGGTCAGGGCAGGCCAGACTAGATTGAGAAGAGGTGGGTGCAGGAAGCACATTTGCATAGAGGCTCCTCCCTCTTTTGAGGCAGCAGAAGGATAAGCGGTCTGGGGAATCTCTGCAGACGCAGTGCTGCAGTGTCAGGAGGCAGCACCCTTGGGGCAGCACAACATGACCTGGGCTCTGCTCCTGCTCATGGTCCTCATTGGGGGCACAGGTGAGGCCTTCTAGAAAGGACCACAGGACATGTGGCCTAAGGTCATTTCTTTTCCTCACGAGTCAAGTGGGCACAGAACTGACTTACCAATTTGAGCTTCTCTCTTTCCAGGGACCTGGGCGCAGTCTGCTCTGACTCAGCCTCCCTCAGCCTCTGGTTCTCTTGGAGAGAAGGTCACCATCTCTTGTGATGGTACCAGCAATGACATTGGAAGGTATGATGCAGTCTCCTGGTACCAGCACCTGGAAGGAACATCCCCCAAACTTCTGATTTATGATGTCAACAATAGAGCCTCAGGGATCTCTGATCGCTTCTCTGGCTCCAAGTCTGGCAACACAGCCTCTCTGAGTATATCTGGACTCCAGCCTGAAGATGAGTCTGATTATTACTGCTCTTCACTTAGTTTTGATACACTTTGCACAGTGGCCCAAGTTCATAGAGAAATGAGAGCAAAACCTGCACTGAGCTCATAATTTCCTTCTCCCGTGTCCTGAAGATGTTTCTTTAGACTCTTGGAGAGGAAGCCCATGCCACATAGACCAGAATTTCAGTTTTCTCTGAGCTCCTCTCCTCCTCCACAGTGAAAATACACTCTTTGCTTTGTTTTGTTGGTGTATGAAAGCATCTTTGGTCTGAGAGTTTTGGGCTCAGCTGGTGTGAGTGTCTCCAATTCTTCATTGGCAGGACCAGAGGGTCAAGTCCATACCTGGAGGTGCAGTTTCTTCAGTTCCACAAAAATCCTTACTGTAAACATTTCCATCTCCCACAATTGTGCTGCCCAGTCTTCCATCAGTTTTCCATTAATGACATCTTATTCTATTCATGTCTATCATGGCCCTGAGTACCCCTCAGTATCGGTATCCCTAGATAGATTATTTTTCTGCTTAGTTTTGCTGAAGGAAGAGCCACTCAAGTTTGCATAAAGTTTCAAAGAGAATGTAACACTGGGGCTTTTTGGATCAGTCTCTCTCTTTGTACCCCATACATAGGAAACTGACCATGTGAGAATGTGAGTGGAATCTCTCTATGTTATACACAAAACCTCTGTCCCCTCCAGGACTCTTCATTCAGT